TCAGCGATGTAATGGTTTTTGCGCGCGCTGGCCGACTGCCGCCGCTGCGCCGAGATTTCCTATACCCTTGTATATATGACGTCATGGTGTGGCAAATGTAGCATTTTAATTCGATTTGGGCTCCCTTATATAGGATAACAGAAACATTTTCAATGTTAAAACCCTGTTTTCTGATTGGCTATCAGAGAAACGCCCCCTTTCTCTTGGTCGATTTACTCATTAGAATTTTTTTTCCCAAAGTTATACGATAACTAGTTTCTGAGATACAGCCGGCGTCTATTCTTAGTTGGCCACCCGGTACTTTAACTAAACAAATATTTTTCCTATACATGTGTATTTAACTGATATTTATGTAAAATGTGGCAACAGTGTTATGCACACAACATAACGATTGTTTCAAAAACATTTTAAAACTCCTCTAAATTTACTTATTTTCTTGAACATTATCTATTTATGAACGATCACCGAATACAACAATTTTTATTTAACATTATACCGGTTGCGTCTCAAAATTGATTCCCTTATAACCCTTATAACTTTTTTATTTTTTTAGATAAAAAAAACGAGATTTGGTATGTTAGTATACGACATAAATTAGGATTGATTGATGTATTCAATTGTTTTTGGTCACTTCCTGTTTCACCGGAAATGACTACAACTTTTGATTTTTAAATGGCACCTTTGGTATATTTTTACTTTATTCGATAGAAAATGACACTCTGAATAGAATGACATATCATATGTCAACTTCTAACATTTTCGCTATGAAAAAAAATTGCATTTTAAGTATCAAGGGAGAGTGCCATGACTGTGTTAAAAACACTAATTTTAAATCAAGGAGCCTTGGAAAAATAGATTTGATCGTCTAATGTGTTTCGTGTCTTGTTCTGGTCGGCTAAAAGATGCCTAAATCGTATTTTTAATTATATCTCAATTTTTTCAAATGGAACGAGGGTGGCTCATTAGCATATTTGGAAAAAGCATTTTTTGCGAATAATTTGATACCACACACTTGGTATTTCAAGTCAAATTGTCGTACTGAACCACATGTTACAATTTCAAATAAACCATATGTGAGAATGTCAAAAAGTTGACATATTATATGTCATTCTGTTCAGAGTGTCATTTTCAATTGAATAAAGTAAAGAAAAATCCGACAGTTGTAGTCATTTCCGGTAAAACAGGAAGTAACTAAAAACAATTGAATACAATCAATCCTAATATATGTCATAATTTCTGTGTACTAAACATAACAAGTCTCGTTTTTTTAATTGTTAAAAAATAAAAAAGTTATAGGGGTGAGCCACCTTTGAGACGCACCCGGTATATCTTCTTGCACTGACAGCTTAAATTTTGAAATTTTACTGAACGTTTCGGTCAGATATATCACTGTAATCAAGTGTGAACAAACCCAAATCCCAATACTCCGAAGCCTATACAATATACCCAAGAATGCATTCTCGAGGCTGACTAGAAGTTTTATTTATGAACTATATATGTATATTAATTACCAAAATTGTTAATTAAGAAAAACTTTTTTTTTCTCCAGTATGCCAAAAATGTATTACATTTAAATTACAACTGTTCAATTCTGTACTCGCTTATAACATGCATAGTTGCCACGCGATTTTAAATCTTTAATTGCTTTTACAAACACAATGACAATATTAAGTATATATTCAGAATGAAATAATGAAACAAATTGGAAATAACCCTCTACCATTAGTAATTAGTCGGTAGACAATTCCTACCATCTATAAGGGTTAGTTATCCCCTTTAGTAATCCCTGGACACTTCGCCATTCTATAGTAATTACTAGACAGACACGCACTTACTGCAACCCTTTTTAACCATTGTTCATTTTATAAACATCTAACGCTCACGAAATATCAAATATTGTAATAATTATACATTCCAGGGACACATAATATAAAATAAGTATATCGGGTGGTGCAGCGTCGTTGGAAACATAAGAAGTCGCATGCAAATTATGAACTGTCCACAGATATTGGCTCCCTTCTTAATTTTACAGCGAAGTCAGGAAATGAACATCGATGACATTCCCCATATAATTTGACATACAAAATGACAGCGATCATTCATTTTATAGCCATCACTGACATAGCGTACTAGCATTGATGGTATTTCGGTAACCATAATAGATACAAACATAGTTAGTTTTTGAAAAAAAAACGGATTTTTTTGAAAATCAATTTAATTTTTTCCTATCGTTACTTTTTAGAAAATCAAAAATCTAATTGCACATTCTCATATCTACTTTATTAGGGCTATCCTTTGAATAAGAAGACTTAATAAAAGAAGACTTTAATAGAAGACGTGGGGTAGACTCAATAATTTGTTGTTTTATTTTACGTTGTGAATAAATGTTGGTAGTTATTAAAATTGTTATAAAAATATATAATTCTAATAAAAATAGATAAGTTATAATAAGTATTTATTAACACAAACATCCGATACGCTACTGAAGCTGGTAAGTCAAATTAACGTATCTAAATTCTTTGACATCTAATCTTTGACAAGTAATAAATAAAAGCTAAAATGCAAGAAAAGTATATAATTTAGTTAATTTAAGTGAATTTCATAAATGATCGGTTTACTACACGTATGTATATTATATAGTCACTTACTAGCGAAAAGTTGTTTCATTATTTCACTTAATTTTTGCCGAGATCTACCGCACGCTACACAACCAACTATTTTAGAGACTTTTTCGATAAATCGCGATAGTGTCACTGTTAATTTAAGTTCTGCCACAATTTCCATCTAGATTTACTACCTTTATACAACTATCAGTAGTAGAATAAATAATAAATAACATAAAATAAGCTCCGTAAAGACTGACAAATCCACAAAATTTCAAATCAAATTCAAATGTGTCAAATGAATCGTCAAACAGAACTGTCAAGGATCCCCACCCTAGAGAGCTTTTATGGTGGCTTTTCCGCCCACCATGCATGAATACATGGATAGCATTATGCTCCTTCCTTAGTCTTCTTATTCAAAGGGGCTATCTGATCAAACTGATTTCAAACTTAACAATGACGTGGGGTAAAACATTGAATACGGAAAATCAAATGCAATAAAATAATATAAAATAAATAATATAGAAACCTATAATCTACATATTATATAAAATGTTTATCTGTGTCGTCTCTACTGAAGTAACGACTTGCTCTAGAAAGTTGCTTTTTTTACTAAAAGATAGCTAATTGGCTCTTCTAAAAACTGTCGTCGCCGGATTTTTTGTTTTTCATTTAATTGAGAAAAAAATAAAAATATTTTTTTTTTTCTGATGTCGCATGTCGTGGCGGATGCACCAGGCTTCAACTAGTATAATATAAACAATCAAATCATTTCCCCCGGAGAGGAATTGGAAATGGTAGAGCAGTATAATGGCCAGCGAGATGCCTGGACCTGTCGCCAAGGGGTTCGGGGCATTACTAGACCACATTTGTGAAAGTGGAATCAATCCATCTTAACATTTACAATAAAGAGTACAAAAGGCATTATGAAGTACAGGAAGAAGATCTGTCCAAAGAGCTATAAATAAAATTGAACGAAAAATAAATTTGTACAATAAGAAGGGATTCCCTTTCGAACATGTAGAGCATTAGAAACTAGTTTGTACAGTACGTCTGTCCGTTCTGTAGCTACGGGGTATCCGTGGGAGGGGAAACGATATTTTCTTGATGTTTTTCGGAAAAAATTAGACGACGCGTCCCATCAATAAAAATTCGACAAATTTGCAAGTAGCCAATAAAATGAGTGGGCGGAGCGATTTGCAGTGACGTACTCGTCAAGTCGACGTATAAAATATATTGCTGTTTATTTAAATGTTTTTTGTCCGCATTCCTTTCATAGACACAGATCCAGCAGACGGAATGAAAGGAATGCGGACAAAAAAACATTTAAATAAACAGCAATATATTTTATACATCGACTTGACGAGCACGTCACCGCAAATCGCTCCGCCCACTCATTTTATTGGCTACTTGCAAATTTGTCGAATTTTTATTGATTTGACAACTTTACGAAAAACATCGAGAGAATATCGTTTCCCCTCTCACGGATACCCCGTAGCTATAGAACGGACAGACGTACTGTACGATTAATATGATGCATTTTATTAGATCGTACACTAAGATTTCAAATTCACAATAAAAAAAATTAAAAATAATATCTTTAAATTGCTAAGGTGGATATTATTTATTTGTATCTTTCAATTGGCCCGATTTTCCTTATTCGATTCATTATATTGTTGCGTTGAATATAATCAGATTAAATAATTTAAAAAAACCAGAGTCGGACTTGAAATTATTTTAAATAATAATTTCAAGTCAATTTCAATAGTTTTGTTATTGTTAAGGTACCCAAAACAAAAAAAAGTATAAAGTGTGACCTATCATTGTATTCGAAAGACCGAGTTCTTTCAAAACCTGAAATAAAAAATGCAGGTCCGTATTTAAAAAAAATAAGTTGGCCTCTGTATCTGACAAATTATCAGCTAATTTGAACATCTAAAAATACTGTCAGATAGCCCTAATAAAGTGCCTGTGAGAATGTGCAATAAGTTTTTTTGATTTTCTAAAAAGTAACGACAGAAAAAAATAAAACTTATTTTCGAAAAAAAATAGTTTTTTTTCAAAAAACTCGGCAAACCCTTGAAACTTTTAAAACTTTTTTGATAGATCTTGGTGGACATCCCAAGGCGCAACTTTGCCCCAATTTAACCATCTTCGTGTCTACTACGGTTTCCGAGATACCAGTGCTCGTACCTCAAATTTGTCGCACCCTGTATATGTAGATATTTTTAATTATTTATCAGACCTAGACCACAAAACTTTTGAAATTCCACTGTTCAAACTTCAACATCTAAATACCAACTGAGATCTTGACTAAACTCCTCCATTTTTTACTTAAAATTAGTTTTTTATTTATAATATCAAAACATTGAAACTAAATATTTAACTAACAGTTACCTGGAAATATTATAAACAACTCCCACGGGCATCGTACAACCCTTTGGTCACCGCTCCAATTGTCTTCTTAACCCCTCACGACACTATATAATCACAATCTTCTCTCAATCGTCCAATTTTTAATTCAAAACGTCAATTGACATCAATTCGAAAACCGCAACCGTTCGCGCCACTTAAAAACTGCAATAGTTCCTCGTTCGAGAAAGGAATGGAACGAAAAAAAGAACGTTGCACCCCGTAGGCAATTGTTTTCCACGCGGCGTTGAAACAAAACACACGCGATTCGTCGTGGCTTGCCGCGATAGTAAACAGGTGAATATTAAAGTCAGGTGGGTATTTGAATCGACGGTGTCTTTGGACGGCTGCAGGCCGGATGTGGCGGGGAAGTGTGCATGTGTGTATTGTGCGACGGCAAAACAAGGGTTATAGAAATATTGTAATATCTCAGGAGGCCTTGCTAAGGTCTGCCTACAGGAAGGATATAAGGGATTTAGGTGGCTTCGGTTCAAAAGGGAAGTTTGCTTTTAGATGTGTTCTAAGAAAGAAGCGTGTGGACGATTTTCTTATTGTATATTTGGAAATAATTATATACCAAGTAAATGTTACAATCTTATAGTGGTTTTGTCTTTATTCGATGGTAAAATGCCTGTCAATTGAGAATTTTGTATTTGTATGAGTATTTACCACACATGGAGTATTGTGGCTCAGCTTCAGAGTTTTTTTTTAAATTTTAACCTCAAGAACCAACTCTTAATATAGGTGGTTATACAAGGTTTTTCTCAAAACTGGTTCACCCCTTAAACTTCTATATTTTTTGACAGAAAAAATAAGATTTTGTATGTTAGTATAATAATGACATAAATTAGGATTGATTGACGTATTCAATTATTGCTTTCGCTCACATCCTGTTAAGGATAAGAAGAATAGCGGAAATTACTACAACTTTTGATTTTTAAATGACACTCTCCGTATTTTTTTACTTTATTTTATAGAAAATGACACTCTGAGTAGAATGACGTATTATATGTGAACTTTTGACATTTTCGCTTAAAATTATCGTATTTTAAATTTCAATCTAGAATGCCATGGATGTGTAGAAACACGACTTTTTAATCAGGAAGCCTTGGAAAATAGATTTTATCGTCTAATGTTTTTTGTGTTTTGTCCTGACCAGTTCGACCAGTTCAAAAATTTTTTCAAATGGAACAAGGGTGGCTCATTAGCATATATGGAAAACGCATATTTTTACGAATAATTTGGTACCACCCCATACAGCACGTCCAAATGAAATTACGTTTCTACAAGGGAGACACATGAGAAACAAAACAGGTTAAAGTGAACTTAAGTGCTTATCTAATTCTAACATATACATATGAGATACACGCAGGTTTATATTGATAGAATTGTGTGATACAGTGTTTACTAGTTGTATACCGTATGCACTCAAGATTCTAAAGAGTTTTTTGTAACGTAACAAATAATTATTAAAATGATGAAATCTGACGTCGGTATATGAGACATACAATGTATATGTCATATGTATGTGTGATACTTCGTATCATAGTTGTGCCTATAGTACACACCTTGTAAAAATGTGACGTATACACATAATATAAATATCTATATAGACACTTTGTAATAGTGTACTGTTGTGTCTACATTCTAATATGAAATAAAGGTGTGCGCACGCGCGGATAGCCTCAGCGTAGATACACCGACCAAGTGTATCTTATGTGTCCTCTCTCCTTTCTCCTTTCTAGGAGTGGTATGTGTTAGCAGCCATTATTGTTTTATCATTCGGAAGCTCTATATAAATGTTCTATTTGTGTGTAGTTTACAAGAGATTTTAAGGTAAACACAAGTTTTTAATTACCTTGTTACACCTCCCTAAGAGTATTATTAATATTATAGCGACTCTTCCCTTACTCGATACCCAATTTACCAAATTTTGACTCCAATGAATGAAAACTCCAAATATTCTCGTATAGGTGATAAAGAGGTTAGCTCTGCAATATATTTTTTTTTAATTTGCAAATAATAAAAATCTAAATGGACCAGAGAAAGAAAGATTTAAACACTTCAAAGAATACACTGATATTCGGTAAGTTATTGATGGATCAATATACAGATATGTTTAACATTCAATAATCAGTTTCATATAAAATTTAAGGGTGAGATTGTTAATCTGGAAATAAAATACAACAAAGTCCAACAGAGTGCTCGATGAATGAGTATGCTAACAAACCAACTGTTTGGAGGGAAAAGAGGAGAAAAAAATCCACCAAATCGTGGCGATATACCAGTGTTTACCATTTTAGTATGTTGTTATACTAGGTACTTATATTTTTAATACATTTTGATACAAATTTTGTTCTTTTACGGTGTTTTCTTACTTCTGGTTTCTGCAGTGTAAATAATTATTATTGTGTTATTTGCGCTATTGCGTTCCATGATATAAAGAAATATAAGAATTTTATTTTTTAACCACTTAATCCATTTTATGGAAGAGAAATGGTACATTTAATACAAAACAAAAATGGAACGAATTTTAAGGCTACTTCTCTTGAACTTACGATCGAGATACTTTTGGAAAATACAAAGTTTTGCCTTCCTAATTTTCGTTCTAAAAAGATATAATTGGTATCATTGAATAAATATTTCTTAAGAAGAACGAAAACTTAGGCATCAAAACTTGTATTATTTCCTAAATTCGTTCATAAGAAGTAGTTTTATCTAGCACAAGATGTATATACGAAGTAAACTACATTGGTATACACGCGGTAGTAACAACTGCAATGTGTAAACAGAGTTTAAACGTAATACACAAGCACTGTGTATCCTACGGCACACTGTGTATCCCTTACTCTGTATATACGTAAATGCTATACTGTGGCTACATTGTGAGGCGGACGTTTAACCCTTGTGCATACGTGTTGAACTACAATGTGTAAACGTAGCATATTTACATCGGGGGAATTGTGTCACCCTGTGTCTACATCTAATAATGTAAACACATCGTAAATGTGATTTGATGTGCTGTATGGGACATATTCGGTATTTTGAGTTAAATTGTTGTTATGAACCAATTTCAAACAAACCATATCCGAAAATATCAAGTTCACATATGATATGTCATTCGATTCAGAGTGTAATTTTCTATAAAATAAAGTTAAAAAATTGAGGGTGTCATTTTAACTTTTACGGTGAAACTGGAAGTGACGAAAAATAATAATTGAATCCGTCAATCAAATCAAATCTCTTTTTTTTTTTGAAACCAATCTGAAAAAATAAAAAAATTGAACAAAAAGGTGGGCCACTTTTGGTAAACACCAGGTATACAAGGGTCGTATATCTCCAAATTACTCATCAGTAATTAATAATTTACATAGATTAATAGACTCAGAACCCTTCTGCGGTGCAGCAAAAGCAGTGAGAAGGATGGCCACAAAATGCTGAGTGGCCAAGAAATTTCCAGAATTATGGAGAAATTCACCAGGGCAGAGAGAGGAGAAAAAGCTCAAAGTAGAACATTTGCTAAAATAATTCACCTGATAGGCAAAGACAAGATTTAAGATAGTCAAAACTGTATTGGGTTTACTAAGCTGAACAGGCAAAGGTGATTTGAATGACGAACAAAGCCATGTACAGGGTGAGCCAACGGTAAAGTCCATTTTCTCATTTGTTTCGAGGTTTACAAAGAAGTGTTAAATATAAAAGTTATAAGGAAGGTTAAGTTATACGGAAAGTTATAGAGAAGGTTAAGTAATACACATAGATGGAAGGTAATGAGAAAGCAAATGATCGAGCTAGAAAAGGAGCGAACACTCTACTAATTGGACCAGAACCGTTCTGGTTTCCAAGCGGGAACCAACTGAAAGCGGAACTGAAGAATCTGGAAGACTCCATTCGTAACCTGGAATGGGTGTCCTCTCACGGTCTAAGACACTCGAATATGTTCCTCAGAACTTACGAACGAAAAAAATCAAAGGTTTTCCTTGGTTTGAGTAAAAACAATCTTCGGACTGTCACGGGGTTTCTAACAGGACACTGTCTCCTCAACGAACACCTCAGTAGGCTGAAGCTGAGAAACGACGGCGAATACAGATTCTGTGGGGAAAATGGGGAAACACCAGAACACCTTCATTTCATTATTGAGTTTATATCTAGTTTTAATTCTGTAATAATTAAAATATGTTTTAAACATGTATCTTTTTATTACACATTGAGTATTTTATTCTACAATCTTTAATTTTTGTTAAATTAACAAAAGGTATATCACACAGCCACCTAGATTTTTTCAAATAATAAAAATCTACTGACGCAAAATCATAAAAATTAAAATTATCTTGGAAAGTCTTTGTCTGAGGGGAAAGCAACCTTAATAATAATTTCAAGATATATAAATTCCCCATTGGACACCGAAAAAATATACTGGGTGTTCCATTTAAAATAAAGGAGTAACTTGCTTTTAAAAGTGACTAATGTTCCACATTAATTTTGTCTCACCCTGTTTAAATTTTCGGGTCAAATTTCAATTTGGATTAACATACAGTGGTTACTGTAATTAAATATCAGACTCTACAAGATCAACTAAAATTTAGTTAGCTATTATCGAAATTTAAAATTTACTCTTTATTTTCACAAAATGTGAAATAAGACAAAATCCTTAGATTTTAGGTATATGCTTCTTTAATAAAACTCATCTTTATTATTTTCCTAGATTCCGAAAATCAATTAATATATAGGGTGTTCCATTAGAAAAAACAAAACTTTGATGTGTAACTTTTTTTGGGGGCACCCTGTATAATTCTATATATTTTTATAAAAAGCTTTCAGTTAACCTACATATGTTACCAAAAATTTTATTTTGATATAAACTACCGTTCTCCTTATTGGAGCTTCCGCGGCGTATGAGAGGTGCCACCATGGCGCCATGCGCCACCCTGTAATATCCTTGGGGTGGCCAATAACTTTATAAAAAATTATAGAATGATGGAGAAATTCACCAGACTTTTGAGCAGAGAGAGAAGAAAAAGTTCAAAGTAGAACATTTGCCAACAATTCACCTGATAAGCAAAGACAGAAAGACAGTCTAAACTGTATTGGGTCCACTAGCAAGACATTGTAAGTTGAACAGACATCTTGTTTTCATAATACGATGAGTTCATCAAAATGAATTAGAATAATAAATGATTAAGAAAAATGTGACCAAAACAAACAAAAATACACAAAAAATTGTTCTGTCCCATCTTTATAAAAATATGCATATGCATGTCAATAATATATTCTATATCGATAAAACACTTCAGCTGTTGG